GCGGAAAACAAACCGCTACAAAAATACCGAACTATCGAAACTGCCAAGGAAGTTATAGCGATCAAAGCGGTCCCACGTTCGACACCTCGTGGTAATAAAATTTTGCATTCTAGGTTGGCACTTCCAGGTTGGTGCCAAATGGCGCGCGCCAAGAATAGATGTCATCTTCGTAATCAGGGCCATCAGAAGCAAGTAGGCTTTTATCAAATATCATATACCAACGCTGCATTAACAGCCAACTTTGATCGCTCACAATTTCCTCGGCAAGTTCGCGTAGCAGTTTTGCTTTCATATTTGTAACCAGCATTCTAGGCTCTATCGATTTACCTAGGTCTCAATTCAAAGTTCCATGGGAATTTGAAACCTTTCCTGGTAAGTGCTCTGAACAGCGTTCAATTAGTTGACCAGTCTAAACCACCAAGTTGGGTATAATTATAAAACGAATGATTATGAAACAAATTAAGACGCTAATGCACACAAATTTTGTAATTCTCACTGATCGCAAAATGGCCAATCTATGTCCCCATCAAAAATATAAACAACCAAATTAGGGTATGTTTAACCCAGAGCGTAAACAAAATCTCAGATTCACGGAAAATTGCTCTCTGGTATAGTTTGTTTTCATGGACACGAATACCAAACCAGACCGGCAAAAAATGTTGGGCGCGTAACTACACGTACCAGAGGCAAACATGGGCATACGCACAGAATGCACATTGAGGACAGCGAGACGCGCATGCGCATCAATTTTTCACACGGATGAGATTAGTTTAGCTCGATTGACTCGGCATTTTTGAATACCGAACCTGGCCGTCTACATTATCGGGTTCAGAAGATAGTATGTTCATTACCAGTAACAGATTATAGAACAGGTAGTAATGGTTCAAAAAATATTGAGAAAAGGTGCTGAGGCACATGCCCATCGGGCTGTCGTCGATGCGTTAGGATATCCTTATAAATTCTTCACACAGGTGGCTCTGAAGAAACAGATCACCCCAATTTATGGTAGATAAGCCCGCGCCAATATCACGTAAAAACACCTCCGCTGGTGCAGTGCACTTGCGTACATCTAGAGACAATCGTAATTCGATATGCTGATTACGAAAACGACATTCATTTTTAGCGGTGGCGCCATCTGGCGCCAGTTGGCGTCACCTTGTCACGACCCTTGTTTTCACCAAAATCGGTGTAAACTTCTGTATAGGGGTTATTTGGTGCCCTGATTACGAATATGACATTCGTTTTTGGCATTAACGTTGTTCAACGCATATTTCTCGGTTGGAGAGCGCAGACGAGCAGAAAATAGGCGCCAAATAGCGCCAGCGCCTGAGAATGAATGTCATATTCGTAATCAGGACACCAAATAACCCAATTGGTGAAAACAGGTGTCGTGACAAGGTGACGCCAACTGGCGCCAGATGGCGCCACCGCTAAAAATGAAAGTCATTTTCGTAATCAGGGCATCGAATTACCTCTATAGGCAAATTTACGGTAGTTTCTAAGGTGTACAAAATTACACTGCACGAGCGGAGGTGTTTTTACGTGATATCGGCGCGGGCTTATCTACCGGAAATTAGGGTACTTTACGTAGACAGAAGTTTTTTGCTTCTTTGCCGAAAAAAGTAGAAGAGGAAACTATCGATCAATCAAACGACCTCTCTTGTGTGTTTTGTACACTACCACCTACGCCTTTACGCAACATCTCATTAAAAAAGCATAAAGCATTTGCCGTTGATCACTCCCCTTTTTGGGATGCGGCA